AAATAGGCGGGTGTGTCCTGGCATGTGACATATTATATATAGAGATCATAGATATTAATAATAAGAATAATAATAATAATAATAATAGTAAAAATAATAATAATAATAATAATAATAATAATAATAATAATAATAATAATAATAATAATAATAATAATAACATTAATACTGATAGTAATAATATCAATAACAATAATGATAATAGTAATAGTAATAGTAATAGTAATAGTAATAATAATAATATTAATAATAATAACAATAATAATAATAATAACAATAATAATAATAATAGTAAAAATACAGAAGGGGTCGTCATGGGGGCTGAGTTTTTTTCAGCCAAAAAAAGCAAAAACACAGCCCATCATCTGCATCTGCTAGTTCAGGGCCATGGGTCTGTTTTTGTGTTTGTTTTTGGTTTTTGTTGGTGCCTTTGCTCATAAACACCAAGAAAACCAGAAAAAGCCCAAAACAAAAAAAACACGGCCCAACATCTGAAGACAATACTTTGTTGATGCTTTCTTGATGCAAGCTTTCTTGATGCAAGACATCAATAATATGATGAGATGTGTATCAACAGAACATAAGCCTCTTCCAAGATATTCTGCAGGTAACTCCAGGTAACTGGAGATAATTTATCTCATCTCTCATTTCACCTTCTGCAGGTAACATCTCATCACAAGCAATTGCTTGTGGCTTGTGTCTGCTTGAATCTATTCTGAACAGCTTTACTGTTGCAAGAGCTCTTCAGCAACACGAATAGCTGCAGAGAATCTTATTCCAAAGCTCTTATTCCAAAGCTGAGCAGCTTTATGCAGAGAATGTTATTTGCATCTGCAGATATCGTTGCAGGTGCTCATCTTTGCATCTTGTGCTTCTTGAGCTCAAGCAACTAGATTGGAGCTGTGCTCCAATTTTCTCCAGCTCACTATGCGATAAATATGTTTGTGGTAGCTGTCTTTTCTCAAGAGCATGGGCAGAGCCCATTGCCCATGCGTATATTGAAATATTGAACATCCAACCTGAAAAAAAGAGCTGAGTCTTGCAGCTGAAAGCTGCATAGATCAGCGATATCTTACGTTTCCTATGATTTCATATGCATGGCAAGCTGTGCTTGCCATACTTACGTGTTTCAGAATTGCAACACAACAATAATATTTGTCCCAAACATACATCCGCTTGCAGATTGCTAAGCATACGTCTTCCAAAATATTGCATACGTATGCAAATTGTGTTGAAGATTTGTGCCAAACATACGTCTTCCAAAAGTTAGCACCCTGAGGTCTATAAGCTTGGCATGCGTAAGCATGCCAATTATCCAAAAATAAGCTACGGACACACGTTTGCTAAATATTTGTGTCCAACAATGATATTTGTGCAACATAGTTCTCAACAGGCTGTCTTCTGTGTAGCTTGAAGCTAGCTCATTTTGCAGGTCTGGATGCATCTGAGTCTTCATTGGATCGAAAATGAATCTGTGCTTGCATGTCATCAGCAAAAAAAAACCAAAAAAAAGCACCCCAACAAATTTAAGAGGTCACGGGTCTTGATCTTATATTCTTGGTATTGTTTAGTGTTTTTAATGGAACAACTCAGCCCCCAAGAATCTGAACAACTCAGCCCCCAGGAATCTGAACAACTCAGCCCCCAGGAATCTGAAAAACTCAGCCCCCATGCCGACCCGCCCTCTAAAAATAATAATAATAATAATAGTAGTACTAGTAGTAATATTAATAATAATATGTGTCTACATGTTCTTGTCTTACAATGTTAGTATGGCATCGAATCGATGAAATGGGCGGGCAGGGCGTGGGTGACGCATATTAAGACGCTGCTGTTTTACTATGAGGAGCGCAGTGTTTTTGATTGCCCTTTCAACTCTTGAGGCGCGTGGCAGCTTAGAGCCAGTTTGGAATGGTTTTGGCGGCATAGCTGTTACAAAAATTATCCCCTTGAAGCAAGCCGGGCCACGAAAACACGCAAACAACTGGGCCAAATAACTATGGCTTTTAGCGCGCGTCATGCAGCAAAAAAGACCAACTGAAGCACCTCCATGTTTGTTGCGCTTTCCCCGAACAGTGTGAGTGCACTGAGGAGTTCGAATGGTAAGAGCAAGGCACTGCATGTGTCTACATTGTGGTGCCATCGGATGTCTTGCACAAAACATTCCCTCCGGAGTCCTCAATGTTGGTTTCGATTGCGCGGGGCCGCAGGTGAATCGGTGCGCCCTCTGCGACGGACGTTGGGCGTGTTGCGTTACTCTTGCTTTTGCACTGGCGACTTTTGAACGTCGAACTCAACCCTTTGCGGATATTAAGTGTGTTGAAAGGCGGGTTGAAATGGAGCCATTTGCAGACTTTGGCAGCGGCGCAGGACCTGCCAGCCTGGGCGTATGGATGCATGCCAACTTGAGTGCTTGCGCGCTTGCATGCGTGCGTGCAGCGTTCCGTGCACGCCTGGGTGCGCGTGTGTGTGTGTGTGTGTGTGTGTGTGTGTGTGTGTGTGTGTGTGTGTGTGTGTGTGTGTGTGTGTGTGTGTGTGTGTGTGTGTGTGTGTGTGTGCGTGTGCGTGTGCGTGTGCGTGTGCGTGTGTGCGTGTGTGTGTGTGTGTGTGTGTGTGTGTGTGTGTGTGTGTGTGTGTGTGTGTGTGTGTGTGTGTGTGTGTGTGTGTGTGTGTGTGTGTGTGTGTGTGTGTGTGTGTGTGTGTGTGTGTGTGTGTGTGTGTGTGTGTGTGTGTGTGTGTGTGTGTGTGTGTGTGTGTGTGTTTGTTTGTGAGTGTTGTGCGTTGCGCGTTGCGTGTTGCGTGTCGCGTGTCGTGTGTTGTGTGTTGTGTGTTGTGTGTCGTGTGTCGTGTGTTGCGTCTGTGTGTTGTGTGTTGTGTGTTGTGTTGTGTGTGTTGTGTTGTGTGGTGTGCTGTGCTGTGCTGTGCTGTGCTGTGGTGTGCTGTGCTGTGCTGTGCTGTGGCGTGGTGTGGTGTGGCGTGGTGTGGTGTGTGTGTGTGTGTGTCTGTGTGTGTGTGTCTGTGTGTGTGTGTTTGTGTGTTTAATTGTGTGTTTGTGTTTGTGTGTCTGTGTGTCTGTGTGTCTGTGTGTCTGTGTGTCTGTGTGTCTGTGTGTCTGTGTGTTTGTGTGTTTGTGTGTGTGTGTGTTTTTGTGTCTGTGAGTCTGTGTGTTTGTGTGTTTGTGTGTGTGTGTGTCTGTGGCTTGTTTATGTGTTTTGTGTGTTGTGTTTTGTGTGTGTGTGTGTTTACGTGTTTGTGTGTTGGAATGTGTTGTTTGTGTTTGTGTTTCAAGTGCGAGCGCGTAAGGTTGCTTGCGAGCGCGTGTGTGTCTTTGTGCGCTGGCTCCGCGCTAGCAACGCGCTAGCAGGCAGTTGCCAATCTGAGCGCTAGAGCGCGCGCCTCCGCAGTGGAGGCAATATCCAACAACCCTTTGTGTGTTTCTAGACTGTGTTTGTAAGCCGGGTTGAGTAGTCTCTAGGCCCTGTCGCCAAAGCTCTCCAAACGAGATCAAGCCAATCTGAAAGCGACAGCAGCGGCTGTGAGTGCTCAGATAGTTCACCCCAAAGCAGCTAAGAGAAGACGAGCTTGTTACTCAATAAAACGGGCCACCTGGGTTCATGATTCCAAGCAGCGCGCGTGCTTATGTCCGCACGTGTGTGGGAGCGGGGGCATGCGTTTGCGTGCGTGCATGCACGTGTGTGTGTGTGGGTGTGTCTGTAGAAACACACGTTATATATTCTCTCAAACATAAAATATCAAACGAGCAAATGAAGACCATATATGTATATTGTTTGCACGTGTGCGTGTGTGTGGGTACGCGCGTGCGCGTCCAGTGCGCGGCGTTGGCTCGCGGCGTGGTGCATGGTGCCGGGTGTGGGGTGGGCGGGGTGGGCGGGGCGGGAGCAGAGGGTTTGCGCAACGCGTGGACGCAAAGGAAGGGACTGGTCACTTCAATCACGATCAGGCACGACTGGGGGAGGCCAGAAGCCCATCGTGGTGCTGGGGGCGGGGCTGCAGGGAGCAGCACTCGCGTACTACCTGGCCCAGAGGGGCGCGAAGGTGCTAGTGGTGGAACGAGAACAGGCTGGTTGCAGGGCCGAAGGCGCATTGCCAGGGATTTATGGTGCCCGTGGTGGGGGGTGGAACAAAGCTCTAGCACCCCTCAGTTCCAGAACCCTAGATCCCATAACCCTAAGAGCTGTCCATTTGCGGAATGTCCCAGGTGGCCGCTGCAGCTAGCGGCAAGGGCGGAGGTTTCTTGGCGCGAGACTGGGGCGACTCCATCACCCGCAAGTTGCACACAGCGCTCGGAGCTGCCAAAGCGGAGTTGGATTCGAAAAAAGTCGTTTGCCCCTTTCGGTTTCAAATCATCCTTTTTTCTGGCTGGCATTGGGGAAGCCAATCTGGGTGTCAAACAAGCCCCGCCAGAGATGGCTGCTGTGGCACGAATGAGTCCCGACTCGCCAAGCAGAAAGGCTATGAAATGCTGATGCCAAACTGTGGAGGTTTCCCCGCAGGCCCTTAGTCTTCTACGACCAGTTCATCCCACTGTGACCGGAAACAGTCCACGCCCGTGTAGCTTGAGTAGGCGCCCTTCGAGTTTACACACCCGCAGAAGCGAAGCCAAAATTGCTTGCCTATTTGTTCTGATTCCTCAGACCCCGTTGGGTGAGTTTCATCATTTTTGTTTTTTGCTGATTGTTGTGAAAGGTGGTTCTTCCTTGGATGAGGGGAGGTTGGAACCTGGTGGGGTGGAAGCGGGAGAGCCATACTCGTGGGGGGTGGGGGGTTCGGGGGTGGGGCTGCACGTTCATTTGCTCGGTTCTCCGAGGTGTCAAAGATGGGTACATGTGTGTGTGTGTGTGTTGTGTGTGTGTGTGTGTGCGTGTGGGGGGCCAGCAGAATCTCCCGAACAACGCTCTGACTTCTGCACCCCCTTTTCCGAGTTTTTTGTTCGAAGGCTGGACATGTCCCGATCCCTTGATCTCAGAGATTATGGCCTTATGGCCTTGAAAGGGGTTGTGGTGCAAGACCAAGTTCACGCTGCATCCGAGGTGAGCTTTAAGCTGCACGAGGAGCTTGCGGAGGCGCTGGAGATCCAATCCTACCGCAAGCTGCCGGTGCTGTCTGCGTCCCGCTCCCGCTCCCGTGGCTCCGGGGAGATTTGCCCCTGGCTGGATGGGGACGTGGACGTGCGGGTCATGGATCCCAACGGTGCGCAGGACGGAAAAGGAGTGACCAATTGGGAAGAGAATGAATCCAACGTTGATTCATGTTGCAGCAAGGTTGGTGAGTTCAAACTCCTGCAGCCACGTTGTTCTGGAAGCCAGCCTCTAGAGGAGGCGTTTTTTGCATAGCGAGTAGTCTGAGGGGCGGTCGCTCCAGATGGGCCTATATTTGTCATGGTGGGAGGGAACTCACCCCAGACAACCACACCTTTGAAAAGGGGGCAGGTTCGGTGGGTGCGTTCTTTGTGGCATTTTGACTGCTGCATGTGGGGGTGTTTTTTGCGAGGGCAAATCAAGTGCTTTCTTTGTGGGGGTTCCATATTCCATATTCACCAGGGTTTGCATTACGACGCTTTGACAAGAAAGACAAGAGCACTGCGACCTGTGAGTGTAATGCATAGAGCCCCTCTTTCAGGGTAGGGTGTTCTTAGATGTTACCAACCAGCGGCACCATGTCAAATCCAACACAAGAGGCATTGATCGATCTACCAGCCCTTCTGCCCACACCCACCCCACCCAACCCCACTGCCCACAAAGGTCCAAAGGACTGAGCCCCACCCCACCTCTCCCCACCCCAGTCCCAACTTCCGGCCCCAGCTTCCGCAGGTCTCGCCCCACGAGCTCTGCACGAAGCTCATGGCCGCGGCACAGGCCGCCGGCGCCGAGCTCCGCATCGGTGCCGCGGAAGGCGTCGAGATGGAGACGGACGGCGACATCGAGGCTTGAAAGCAGAGGCTGCGATAGCATGGGTGTGTTGACAACTTCCTCAGGAATAAGGCCAAACAAGGGTTGACCGCCCACTGCAAAAGAGTTTGTTTGCCGAGGGTAGCATATGGGAACTATTTTAACATGTTTAGTTTAGCCTTTTGGCAAATAGGCACCTAGATTTTCTGTTTCCCTATCCAAAAGTTAGGATCTTGGACCCAGGAGAGGGTGACCGGCGTGAAGGTGGACGGCGAGGTGTTGGAAGCGGAGAAGGCACGACCAGCGTGCTGAAACTTGAGCCAAAAGGCTACGGAAGTCGTCCTGCCCTTTCTGCACCTGTCCAGCTTGCATGTCTGAAGGCCTCAGTTTGTCACAGACCCTGTCAAAACTTGTCTTTAATTTGCTGCATTGGTGAATCGTGCCAAGGGCGATGTCGTGCGTCCGCAGAAGGCAAACACAACGTTCAGGTTTGGCCTTCTGACCCCCTTTTGTCCGAAACCCTTTGGAACATTTGCCTTGCGTACCGCTTGCAGCCGGGGTGTTTGCGCCTTTCTCGTTGCTTAGTCGCTATGAAGCCTTCCTTTTTTAAACATCCGAAAGTGGTTGGTCAGGGGTCGTTTCACATAGTTGCATGGCGCGCTTGTTGTTTCCTTAGTAGGAAATATGACAGAGTGAGCTTGACCATTCCCATCAGATCTTATCCGCCTCTGTCCACCTCTCGATTCGTGTGAAGCATTGACTCTTAGCTCCAGCCCAGTGTCCCGCTCAACGAGCTGCAGTTGGTCAGCCTTTGCTCCATCGACGTGTTGCGATTTTTGGCTTTAGCGCCGAGTACCTTTGGTGCACGATGGACACGGAGCTTGCGGGTCTCTGCAGAAACAAGCTGCGAGGCTTGTCCCGCTTCCTCACAAGCTCCAGCATTCGGCTTTCTCGTCCGTGCTGCGAACCACAGCCTTGTCCACGTCGAAGTCTCTTGCTCCCAGCGTGTGGTGCCGAGCTTGCTGTGCTTTGCGCCTCAAGCGGAGCGGCTGCCCACAGAAGCCAGAGCAAAGTGGGGAACGGTGTCCCTAGCAAGAGAAGAGCACTGGGAGGGGTGAGTGAACTTTCACGTGCCAGTACAAGCGTGGAACCGTGATGCGTGTGGTTCCCAAAGGCTTGGAGGTTGGGATTGTTCTCTGCCCACAGGCGTTTGTAAATCCTGCTGGGGTTCTCACTTCAATCGGCCCGTTTGGTTGACTCGCTGGTTTAGGACTTAGTTTGGCGACCAATCCTGATGCCATCCCCTGGAGGCTGGCAGTTCTGACAGACGAATCATGGCACTCCTGCCAATTGAGAAGTTGAGACTTGCGACCATTCGTTCTCTTATCACAGAACACATTCTTCCTCCCTCCTCCTCCCTGCCTCCCTCCCTCCCCTCCCTCCCTCCCTCCCGCCCTCCCTCCCTCCCGCCCTCCCTGTCTTCCTCCCTCTTCATACAAGGCACATATTTTGTATAGCTATTTTTCTCTATCTCTATGATATTTATATACATAATATGTCTCTCCCTCTCTGCCTCTCTCTTTCTGTTGGTGAAGTTATCTTGATTCAAGCCAACTCGGCATCGCGAGGTCTGTGTTTGCCTTGGCCCCTGGGCGGCCCTGGCAGAGGACCTCGGCATGTTGCGTAGTCTCGCCGGAAGATGAGCAGGTCCCGCAAGAAGAAGCTTCCTCTACACGTGTTGTGTGTGTGCGTTGAGCTGTTTAAGTATTTAAGATATTTAAGCCTGTGTTTGGGGGTCAATAGACTAGTCTTCAGAGCACGATTGTACGAAGCTGTGCATTCGATTGTAGAAGTACCTCCACGAAAGATCTGCATTGGCTGGGAAACCTCTTTTTGCCTTTGCAAGTTACTTTGCGTACCTGCTCTCTTTTTTTTAGTCGATGAGCAGAGCAAAACAGGCTTGGTCTAGAAGATTCCAAGCCAGTCCTGAAGCTGGGATTGCGGAATTGGCTGATTGAACCAGCAACTTGCCCTGTGTGTGCTCCGGGTTCCCTTTATCACAGTCTTCAGATGGGAAGAGCACAAGAGACTGAACAATAAAATTCGGCCATGGCCCCCAAACCCGGCTTTTTTCTTAGCACTTTTGCTTTCTCCACTTCCAGTCGTATTTGAGCCCTAAGGGGTCAAGCTTTCAACCAAGAATCATGCCAAACAAAAACAATTGCCCAGGGAAGATTTAGGTGTAATGATCTGAGAAAAATCGTGTCATTTCTGTCAGGCGGGGCTTCTGGTGCATTTTTTTAGGGGGGCGGGGGGGCGATTTGAACCGTTCACAAAATGGGAAAGATGACAGCAACCAAGGAAGGTTCCTTGGCAAGTCAAAGCACAGAACCTCCTTGGGATGGCTTGAGATGGACAGCGCAATGAACCCGTCGGAAGCCACAAGAAGGGATTTGTCAGGGCCCACTTTTGACACTTTTGGAGGTTGATCAGAATTTCAGTACCCCAAAAGAGTTGCCATCTTCTTCAAGCAATTCACGTGCGAAACAAACGTGGTCACCACAGCATCGGCGTGTTCTGGCTGGATCGCCACAACTTTTAAGTACAAAGGCGGACCTTACCAAGCTTCGCTGCCCGAAGAAAGCAGTTGGAGCAATTCGCTAAACCAAACCAAAACCACATATTTGCATTTCAGGCTAGAATGTATCGTTTCGACCGGTCTTCAGCTGGCATTTTGAGCATGCTTCTTGCATTTTTTCCCCCGCTTGTATCGCAAAACTTGCCGCGATTCCGGCGATACTTCCCGAAAAGGAAACCTGAGTCCATTCCAGCGATTATGAGTATTATCCTCTTTGCGCCTTAGCGTTCCATTCCGGCTGCTTGTATTCCGATTCCCGCAAGTTTGTGACTTCAGCTGAAAACGTGATGCATTTCAGATTCCAACTGAAATTTCAGCCGAAGGACCTGGAGGCCCAATTGATACAGAAATTTGTGCTCGAATGTTTTTGGCGCAAAAAGTGCCCGAAACGTCTCTGGGAGACAGCGACTTGGCGCTAGTGTAGTGACCAGAATTTGGGCAGTTGTTAAAATTGCGCTCGGTTGCGCGGATTTGCGCCCGCGTTGCGCGAAATTGCGCCCGAAGTTGCGCCGAATTGCGCTCGAAACGCGGTGCGCATTTCGGGCCAAGCCGTCTTCAAAACTTTTCGTTTCCAATCGGGCAGAAAAAAGCGTTCGAACTCCGAAAATGCAATTGAGCACTTTTTTCTGTATCAATTGGGCCTCCAGGGAGTTTCTCGGACCCAGAAAAGGGGGCCTACCCCAGAAAGAGGTCCAAGGAGCAAACGCAGAAACGCAAGTCGCGGGAAATGGGAAGCTGGGTGTTAGATAGTGTTGGGGCCGATTTCTGTACCAGGGAATTCCCCGTCGTGGGGATTCCCAATTCAAGAAACAAACGCCACAGGAAGCCAAATGATTCGCCTCAAATCTTTGAAGGACTGGTTCGGGATGCCAGTGCCCATGACCGGGGTGAAGAGCAGCAGCATCGTGTACCAGACCAAAAGCGAGGTGGAGCCTTTCGCAGTCTTCTGCGGAGAGGACTCGCGCTATGGGACCCATCTGGAGATCTACCCCCGGAACTCCGGGGAGGCGAGGACTGGAAATGCGAGTTGGGCCAATTCGAAGGCCGAATCTCTGCAAATAGGAAGGCCTCGGACAATATTTGTTGGGGGTTCAGACACCCGGCTCTCTCAACCCAGACTTGGAAGCAAAGCCCTGGTGCATGGGTGAGATGAGTTGGGTCTCACGATCCACCATTGAGGGTGGATGTCCTACTAGGGTATCTCATATCTCATGCTTGAAATCAGGATGCCGGTTGGCGCAGGCGAATTTCCTAAGGTCAGAATAAAGCACTACTAAGGGTTTGCTTGACTTGCCGAAACGCGACAGGTTCGTGCCTTATGACATCTCATGACTGTGCTGCGAGAGGAGTTTGCCGAAGAGAGTCTCTGGAGCCCTCAAAGTAGTTTTAGATGATATTGGCTAGGCCCAGCTGCCCATGAAATGGCTCTTATGGTGATGATGTGTTTGAGCTTCTCCGTGAGGGATTTACAGGGTGCTTCCAGAGGCTTCCAGGAAACTGATTGCAGCCCCAAGAATCCTTCCGGGCCAGCAACAGTGGCAGGGAATACCTACCTACTACCCGCTACCCACTAGTTACTACTTAATATCTACTACCTACGACTACCTTACACAGTACCTACATGAGGTACAAACACAAATTTATGCACATCTACAAACAAGTACGCGCTGGTACATACATTCACATGCGCATGTATTTATATCTATATATATATATATTTATGTATTATGTTTACATATGATTTCCATAAATCGATATGCACATCTATACATATATTCCTTTGCGGAACGTGGCTGAGCTTCAAACGCCGACCGCTGACCGCTGGCATAGATAGCCGCTGTCGGCTAAACAGGGAGCGTTTGAATCAGCCGCGCGAACGCGCCCTCCGGACACAAGCCCTTACAGCGCAGGTCTACATTTGCGGCATCGGGGGCTCCCAGCACCTTGGCTGCTCTTTGGACGTTTCTACCCCAAGTTCTTGTGAAGCGAGTTTGCACCAGCCACGTTCAACCAAGAAGCTTCAACCCGCTGGCACCGAAGTTCCCTCCGGAGGTACATCGACGCCGCCACGCTGCGCGGGGAAAATGGCGGGCTGCTGCCCTCCGAGGTGGAGCCTGACCCGCAGCGCGTGGAGGTTGGCCTCGCTTCAAACCACATGTTGGAATGCGCGTGCGCTTACATCCCCTGGGATTAACCAATATGTGGTCTAGACAGTTGTTCAAGGGAAAGCTACATGAGGCCAGTCGAGCCATGGTGGTGTACACAGAGTCCAAAGCGCATGTTGGGTACTGGGTTCTTTTGGGAAGTACCAACTGTGATGTGAAGTGCTTTTTGGGACAGATATTAACTTTGCATAAGCAAGAAGTTTCCATGAAAGGCTCATTCAGCTGCCCCTGAACTTTCCTTGTTTGAACATCTGCACAAGTGGCACCTTTGTTGTCTCCCACCGGGAGATGGATCAACTTTGGATGTGGGGTAAATCCTGAGGATCCCGAAGCAAGACGCCATCTTTCAGGGGCCATCATTTTGGGAAGATCTTGGCCACTTCAATGGTCATGCATATTCATCAGGGATCCTTTGGATTTCTTTGGGGAGGTCTGTCCACCAGATATTCATCAAAGACACCCTTTGGATTCTTTTGGTCATGGGGAATAAGGTCCACCGGCCACCTTCAAGCGGTGGTTCACCAAAAGCGCCGGCCAAATGGCGCCGGAATTGCTGCCAGAGGCGGCCACCGCCTGCTTCTCGGAGATGAGCCGGAAGCTCGGGGGGAAGCCTGACGTGGTGCAGGCGCGCGGGAAAGTGGCGCATGGCGCTGTTGTTTCAAGAGGCGTTGGTCTTGGGTCGTGTGTGTGTGTGTGTTTTCTTTTCCGGGGGGCCCGTTGCAGGTTCCTGTCATAGAAGGGCATTTGGGGGAACACATGTTTATGTCGCTGCGGAGGCAAGCGTCCACGAGATGTGGCGACGGGAAATGGGTCGTGCCATCTGGATTTACGCGAAGAACGGGTTTTCATCACGTCCTATATTGAATCTGTACACTGTGAGCGTGCTTCGTTGCGTGTCTGTCCTTCTTTGGTGAGGTTCTCGATTATGTTGTCCGTGAGCAGCCCAAAAAATGATTATTCCTCAACTTTCCCAGGCCTCGTGGTTCAGGGCTCCTGGTGCTTTCTTCTTAAGTCTTAAGCATCACCTCACCAATGAAATCTTGCTTCAGATTGGCCCAGCGAGTGCTTGTGGAGCCACCAACAAAGGAACCTGTCGGGAACCACAGTGGCGTGTCTACCCCCTTTTCCGCCCACTGTGAGGCCTGCATGCGGCCCTGCCCCCCGGATGCGCTGCCCATCATGGGCAAGGTTCCCCATGTGAAGCTTGATGGCATCCAAAGTGTTTTCCCTTGTTTTTCTAGTCTAGCAACCCAAAAGGATAACCTCTCTCGAGTGCTTCCAGTTGTCATTTTAAGTGAGAAAAAACATACCCAGGGAAAAACTGCCATTTCACGGTTAGATGGTAAATGGAGCGTCAGGTTCTTTTTCTCGGCCCTTTGTGAGGAAGAATGCCTACATCTCCGCGGGCCACAATTGCTGGGGCATTCTTTGGGCTCCGGTGAGTGGCAAGGCGTGAAGGGAACAGGACTTGAACAGTTGCCTGTTGAGGCCTCCAAAGATTTGGCCTTTCAAAAGAACTGAGGGAACTGAGGGAGGATATTTGTGGGCATTGTGGGCCATGAAACAAGATGAAACTCAACACAGTTGTCCAAGCGAGTTGTTCAACCAGTGGAAATTTGCCAATATTGTACGTATTCCAAGGGCCCCTACAAAGGAGAGAGCCTATGATGGGTTTCGTTCGAGATTCTCTAAGAATGCCCAAGAGTCCAGCTACAAGCAAAATGAGAATTGCCTGGTTTTGCAGCATACACCCCCAGTGGCCAACCCAAGCCTCAGTTTGCTGGTTTTGCAGTGGGAACCAATGGACCTCCTGGGAGAATGTGGGATGGTTCCCGAGATCCTTCCCTCATTTCTTGCTGATAGCACTTGTCCCGAAGACCGACCTTTTTCACCTTCCGTTTTTCCAATTTGGTCCACATGGCTGCAAAGTTTCTTTCCGGGTCCTGGCCATCCTGGCCAGACCAAATACCCAGCCGGCGTCAGGCCATGTCGGAGCTGATCCTGGACGGTGCCGCCAAGTGCGTGGACCTGCGCCACTTCCGGCCCGGCCGCTTCGCCAAGAGCGGCACGCAGGCGGCGCGCCGGGGACGGAAGATGGGCACCGTGCCCGTGGGGGAGCAGTGGTGAGCGGAAAGGGGAAGGAGTTTGTGAACAGACAAACAAACAATGACAAGCAATCGCAGAAACAGATACATAGATGTATATACATGTTACTTACGTGCATACGTGTACATATATATATATATACACAATATGTACTATATGTTAACACAAATCACACTATACTTTGTCGATATTGCGCAAACAATGCATCAGTATGTATATTGGAGTCAGTTGCTGTGGCCGAGCATGCCCAGGCAAGCACTTGCTACCTCGCGAGCCTTACGAAGTTATATATATATATAGATATGGGATTCGCCTCCCAGAAATCGGTGTCACCGCGAGACGGCGAGACACCGCGAGATGCTGGCTCCAGAAGAAAACCACGCGGGATGTGCGTCAAGCAGAATCAATTTCGTTGTGTGGCCTTGAATTTCTGTCGGACCAATCCTTGGAGTCTCCTTTTGAACACCCTGGCTTTCAATTAAGCTGGTTTCCTGACAACGCCTACATTCAGACAAGGGTGCCTATATTTCCCCTTTTGGTTTCAATCATCACCTTCTGGCCCAAGAAAGGTGAGTTTCCCTTGCCCTTGCAGGGGTGATGTGCTAAGAGTAAATATAGGGAGCCCTGTTCAGATCAGAATCTTCCTGGACCAAGCGGAGCCCATCTCGTTGGAAAATCCGAGGCCAGCGCATCGAGTCCCAGCTGAAGTGTGTGGCGGCCTGGAGCCCAGGCAGCCCAGACCACCGATCACGGGTCCAAAGCTTTCTGCTTGGTGCATCGTTTTTGTCCAGGCTGGAAATTTGGAGACTGACTACTATATATGTTTGATATGATGTAGTTGTTACTGTATGCTTGTATCTTTGGTAGCTATGTAGTTGGCTTCTGTTTGTCCATGTTGCTTTTTCAGCTGGCTTTAGAGGGACCTGGGGACTGAATGCTTGACTACTATATGTTTGATATGATGTACTCCGCTTATTTAGCTCAGCCCAGGTGCATCAGGCCCTCAGGCCCTCAGGCACCTCCAACCTCCACAGTCCATGTTCAAGCTCCTCGCCCTCCAGCCTCCAAATTTCAAGGGCCAAGTTTGAAGCCCCTCGGCCTTCCAGCCTCCACATTTCAAGAGCCAAGTTTTGAATCCACTCGGCCCTCCAGCCTCCACATTTCAAGGGCCAAGTTTCAAGCCCCTCGTTCTTCCAGCCTCCACATTTCAAGGGCCAAGTTTCAAGCCCCTCAGCCGTCCAGCCTCCACATTTCAAGGGCCAAGTTTCAAGCCCCTCGTTCTTCCAGCCTCCACATTGTTTCAAGCCCCTCGTTCTTCCAGCCTCCACATTTCAAGGGCCAAGTTTCAAGCCCCTCAGCCGTCCAGCCTCCACATTTCAAGGGCCAAGTTTCAAGCCCCTCGGCCTTCCAGCCTGCACATTGTTTCAAGCCCCTCGTTCTTCCAGCCTCCACATTTCAAGGGCCAAGTTTCAAGCCCCTCAGCCGTCCAGCCTCCACATTTCAAGAGCCAAGTTTGAATCCACTCGGCCGTCCAGCCTCCACATTTCAAGGGCCAAGTTTCAAGCCCCTCAGCCGTCCAGCCTCCACATTTCAAGGGCCAAGTTTCAAGCCCCTCGTTCTTCCAGCCTCCACATTTCAAGGGCCAAGTTTCAAGCCCCTCGTTCTTCCAGCCTCCACATTGTTTCAAGCCCCTCGTTCTTCCAGCCTCCACATTTCAAGGGCCAAGTTTCAAGCCCCTCAGCCGTCCAGCCTCCACATTTCAAGAGCCAAGTTTGAATCCACTCGGCCGTCCAGCCTCCACATTTCAAGGGCCAAGTTTCAAGCCCCTCAGCCGTCCAGCCTTCACATTTTAAGGCTCTCGGCCCAAATTTCAAGCCCCCCTCCACATTGCATGGGCAGGGTGCACTTTGAAGCGTCCGCCTTGACAGTAGGCCAACATTTCAGGCTCTTTGAGTCCACGTTTCAAGGTTCCACACATTTGTTTTTCACCCCCGCTTGTTGAGGTTCGCTTGTTCAAATGGCTGGGCGGGCCCCGAAAAATGCTAGCTGGCGGAGTGCAAAAGATTTGTTTATTCCGTATGTTTAAAATGATTGGGCGGGCCACGGGCAGGCTTCACAGAGGTAGTGTAAAATATCTGTTTGACCAGTTCAAAAATCCGCATATTTATGTGTGGGCGCCGTTCAAATCCAATCAAATATCACTGAATTCCTTTTGGACAAGGAATTCATAATTAGTTTGTAAGTCAATATCGAAATTCTAATACAGCTCTTTCCCTATCAAACTCTACTAAAACATGTTTGGAGCACATTCCTCTTTAAATTCTTATTCTAAAGAAACATTACAATTGACTTTCCCCAACAGCTGAAAGCCAAACTCTCTCAGCCCAGATAAGGTTTGGGTGGGGGTGGCTCGGGGGAGCTCTGGAGTCAGGTTCGAGCAAGGTTCCGGAGGCGGTCCGGAGGTTCCGGGTGGACTGTTTTTGTTTTGACCTGCGGAGGTTTTTATTTGACCTGTAGCAGCCTTAGGGGGACAGGTCGCAAAAAGGCCCTGTCGAGCCCGGAGGGACAGGTCGAAAGGAGATCCTGGGGCAGGTCCAAGAAGAAGCGTAGTGGAGACCCTTCGCAGGTCAGAAAAAGACCCAGCCCCCCTAGACTGGGTTTTGTTCTGCCACGTGGGTTTTTTTGTTTGATCTGTGCCTAGCGTGTCCTGTGAGAGGTTCCTCTCACATCAGGCCACCGAGAGTTTGATGGAGCAGAACTGCCTACAACCTTTTGTGGGGGGCACGGTCTGAGCCGGTTCTCGCTGCCCTCGTACACGAGGAAGTTGTCACCCTTGCGTATCTCCGCTTCTCCTAATCTCGGGATTTTTTCGTTTCCCCTCATACGGCTCTAGGATCGGTGTCCAAAAGGCCCTGTCGAGCAGCAGACAGGTCTGGATAGACAGGTCTACGGCTTTAGAAAAATCGGTGTACAAAAATTCCTGTCGAGGAGCAGACAGGCCGGAAGAGAGGTTAAAAAAGAGACCCTGGGGCAGGTCCGAGAAGAACCGTAGTGGCGACGAGGTTGAACAAAAACCCTTCGCGTGTCAGAAAAAGACCCGACTGGGTTTTGTTCTGCCCCGTGAGGGTTTGTATTTGAGCTGTGCCCCGCGTGTCCTGTAAAAGGTCTTTTTCAGTCAGGCCCACCGACTTGCCACTCCCAAGACAACTGAGACTTTGATGGAGCAGAACTGGCATTCCTGACCCGGAGAGACAGGTCTAAAAGAGACCCTGGGGCAGGTCCAAGAAGAACCGCAGTGGCGACGAGGTCAGAAAAAGACCAAATCCCCTTAGACTGGGTGTTGTTCTGCCCCGTGAGGGTTTGTATTTGACCTTCCTCAGATTCTCCACTCCCCGCAGACGGACTTGGAGAAAAACCATTCGCAGGTCAGAAAAAGACCCAGCCCCCTGGACTCCTTTTTTTCTGCCCCGTGAGGGGCTTTGTCTCGCGTATCTCAGCTCTTCAGGCAGCCCCGCTCAAGATTTCGCTTCCCATCATACGGCCTTAAGGAGGATCGGTGGCAAAAAGGCCTGCCAAGGCCTGGGCAGAGACCCTTGGTCAGAAAAAGACCCAGCCCTGCTGTGAGGTTTTTATTTGACCTGTGCCTCGCGTGTCTCCTTCCCTTCAAGCAGCCTCAGGAGGACAGGTTGCAAAACGGCCTTGTCGAGCAGCCCTGGTCGGAGGTTCGAGAGATCCGCAGCGGCGACAAAATCGACAAAGAAGTCCTCGCAGGTAAAAATAGAATCCCCTCCTTTAGATCCGAGGGTTTTATTTGGCTTGTCATGACAGCTAGCATCAGCTAGCTGGAGTTGCTCTTGCTTTAGCAAGTCTATGGCTGGGAATGGTTGTTTGGCATGCCAGCTTAACAAGGTTTTGCACTTACACTTTCATGATTCTGCACCAGAAACATCACTTTACAATTCATAAAGCCCACAACACCAGGTAGTCTGGCATTAACAATATGTACCGTGAATACACAAGAACTATTGAAAGGACTTAACGCGGCGGCCATATGAGCCACGGACAAAACACACGAAGACCACTTTATCAAGGCGGGGTACGTTTTTGCATAGCACATGCCAAAACCATGGAAAACGATAAGGTCTCCCCCAAAAACGATAACCCTTAGCTAACACACGGCTCTATAATAACCCCTGCAGTTGCAACTTAGCTAGGGTGCGAGAAGGCGAGTCGCCACTTTCGAGCTGGAGCTGCCAAGATGTGCTTCATAAATACGACATTTGTACTGAGAAGTTGCGATTTTCAAGCCGGAGCTGCGGAAGTGTACTTCGCGTACTAGACTTGCACGACAAAGTTGCGATTTTCGAGCTGGAGATGCGGAAGTGTACTTCTCGTACTAGGATTGCACTACAAAGTTGCAATTTTCGAGCTGGAGATGCGGAAGTGTACTTCGCGTACTAGACTTGTACTACAAAGTTGCGATTTTCGAGCTGGAGCTGCGGAAGTGTGCTTCGGGTACTAGACTTGTACTACAAAGTTGCGATTTTCGCGCTGGAGATGCGGAAGTGTACTTCGCGTACTACACTCGTACTACAAAGTTGCGATTTTCGAGATGCGGAAGTGTACTTCGCGTACTAGGATTGCGCTACAAAGTTGCGATTTTCGATCTGGAGCTGCGGAAGTGCACTTCGCGTACTAGACTTGTACTACAAAGTTGCGATTTTCGAGCTGGAGCTGCGGAAGTGTACTTCGCGTACTAGACTTGTACTACAAAGTTGCGATTTTCGAGCTGGAGCTGCGGAAGTGTGTTTCGGGTACTAGACTTGTACTAAGTACTACAAAGTTACGATTTTCGAGCTGGAGATGCGGAAGTGTACTTCTCGTACTACACTTGTACTACAAAGTTGCGATTTTCGAGCTGGAGGTGTGGAAGTGCGCTTCGCGTACTAGACTTGTACTACAAAGTTGCGATTTTCGAGCTGGAGGTGTGGAAGTGCGCTTCGCGTACTAGACTTGTACTA